ATGGATTTTGTGACAGGATTGCCTAAAGCACGCTCAGGACATGATACTATATGGGTAATTGTTGACTGGCTTACCAAGTATTTCCACTTTTTGGCCATCAAGATGACCGATCCCTTGGACAAGTTAGCAAGAATGTATATTCGAGAGATAGTCAGATTACATGGAGTGCTAGTGACAGTAGTGTCCGACAGGGACCTCCAGGTTCACTTCTCAGTTCTGGTCTAGCTTTCAGCAAGTTGTAGGAACGAAACTGTGCCTTAGTACTGTATTCTACCATCAGACTGATTGACAGTTAGAAAAGACAATCCGCACACTTGAAGATATGCTTCGAGTTTGTATTCTTAACTTCGGGGGACATTAAGATGATCATCTATCCCTGATAGAGTTCGCTTACAACAATAGCTACCAAACAAGTATTGACATGGCTCTGTATGAGGTATTGTATGGCTACCCATACAAATCGTCAATATGTTAGAAAGAAGTAGGTGATAGAAAACTATTCGGCTTAGATCTCGCAGAGGAGACTACAACCAAAATAGTTAAGATCAGAAAGAATATTCGAACGGCTTAAAGTAGACAGAAGAGTTATGCGGACACCCAGAGGAGGGATTTGGAATTTGAGAAAGGCGATCGGGTGTTTCTTAAGGTCACTCATTTCAAGAGAATCAGTAGGTTTGGCAAGATGAAAAAACTAAATCCCCAATTTATTATACAATTTGAAACCTTAAACAGAATTGGTACCGCCGCCTACAAACTGGTATTGCCTCCAGAATTTTCAGGGGTACATAATGTGTTTCATGTATCTATGCTACGTAAGTACAATCCGGACCCCTAGCCTCTTTCACTCCAGGAGGATCTGTCCTACAAGGAAGTACCAGTCGGTATTGTGGACCGAAGGAGCAGATTACTCCGCAACTGAAAAATTTTATTTGTTAATGTCCTATGGCAGAATCACACACTGAGAGAGGCCACATGAGAGCTAGAATTAGACTTCAAAGTCCAATATCCCCAACTGTTTGATTGAGAGTGAGAGAGATAAATTTGAGAGACCAAATTTCTTTTAGGGGGGAGAGAATTGTAATACCTAAAATAATTTTTTGTGAAATTTAAATTAATTTGTAATCTAATTTTTAAATTTTTTAATTTTAATTTAGTGTAAAAATGAAAGAAATTTGAAGGATGATGAAATTGAAAATAATTTTAGAAAAAAAGGGTGAAATTTTAGGTTATGGGAGTATTATTGAAAAAGAAATAAAAAATAAGGGGTCAAAATATAATTTAAGAAAGTTGTGCTACATAAGATACTTAGTCGGTAGCTTCGACAAACTAGAACGCACTACATGGCAATGTATACTGACGCGGTGCCATGCGGGCAATCCGCGTGCCCATGATCAAACGGCCCAGATCCGCTCCCGCACACACGATCGAGCCAGATGCGTGCACTCCCAAGACGCGATCGGACGATCAGATTTAAACATGATCAACGGTCTAGATCTACTTCCTATTTAATCGCGATCGGACAATATAAATCAAACGTGATGGACTGTCCAGATTAAAAGAGAATGAATATAAATAACCCTCTCACACCAAACCCTAACCCTAGCCGCCAGGAAGAAGAGCCGCCGCTACCTGTCGCCGTGCCGGAGTCACTTTCGACCGCCAAAAGAGGTAAACATTTTTTCCTTTGCTCGGAATTCTATTTTAAATACTCCCATGACCAAATCGGAGCCAAAAGACTAGCGGATTAGTCGAAAATCACAGGCAAAGTCCGGCGGTACCACCATAGGAAATTTCAAAAATCACCTCTAATGAGGCCCTTCTCGATTCCTATTCTACGAAATTTTTCTACCATTGTAATCACCGTTTCTTTCTCTACAGGTTGACCGAAGCAAACACTCAACGACAAAGTGAGTTGGC